TGACACCGATGATCAGGAAAAGGTTGTTCTAACTGGTGAACCTCCTCCTATTGATGATACTGAAGTTGATGACTGGCTTCCACGTTATCTTGTCTTTCAGGGATCGTGTATCTTCTTTTATTTGTTGTCCACAGATATGAGTCCTCAGGACTCCACCCTCCTATCTGATGTCACTGAAGTAGGTCCTCTGCCATGCATTCAACAAGAAGCTGTTGGCGAGGGAGGTGACGGGGATGCCGACAAAGCCGAACATGCGGTACACGCCGGCACGTGAGAGGGCCTTGGCCATCAGGACGTTGCCGTCGATTGGTATATTGTATATGACACAAGAACAAATGACAAAAACATTGAACAAGTTGAAAGGAACTTTGGACAAATTGTTAACCCATGATGTAAGAGATACCGTTAAAAATATATGTATTATTGATTGATATGTTGATTGATATCTATTACAAATGGTGAGTGGCTCATTATATAGGAGAGGGTGAGTGTAGTAGGTGAGGAGTAGGTGGTGGTAGGTGATGGTAAATTGGTGGTAGGTGATGGTAAATTTTAACAGATACTTTAAAAATTCCTCAAATATTCTGATGATCAATTGCAAATTGTTGATCAAGAAGTTCCCAAACATGAGAAAAGTGATGTGGATTTGATAGAAAAATTGGAAGCAGTCAAAGTCCCAGAAGCCATAATTGAATTGTAAGACAATCTCATGCATAAAATATTTTTACCAACAGAAGAGCTTCCTTTTGACCTGCCACCACCAGATTACTTAATCAAGTTCCAAAGGCTTTGTTTTATTGGTATTGAGAATTTTCTGCGTGTTCAATCCATGGTTGGTAGACCTCATCAACAGTCTGATCATGAAATGAGAAGAAAATCAAACAGTTAGCATACTCGAAGTATTTGATTTGTTGACATGGACGAGCTAAGTATCTAAATTAAAACTGGAGGAAGTGTTCTTTTTTTCAACCGGGGAGAATGATGTGGAACGGGCACACCATAACTTTTCCATTCATAACTTCCACCACAAAAATTGCAACTTTTCTTACGATATGCACCTTTTTAGGGGTGCACAATGTAGCATTTTTCTTAAGGCTATGGTCTTGTGTGATTTGTAGCCGTTGTGTTTTTCTTCTCTCTTCTTTCCTCTTTGTTCTGCACGAGGAGCTTTGCTTGATAGGATGGATTGTTACAGAGGTTGGTGGTTGAAAGTGTGGGAGTGAGTGAGAGACAGAAAAAAAAGTGGTGGTGTGATGAAGGGGAGCTTTGATAAGGTGAGATATCCTTATGGGATGTCATGATGGATAGTGTGTTGCAGTGATGTTTCCCTTAGGCTTGGTTTGGTTAGATAGAGAATACAGCAAAATGAAAGAAAAAGAAACGAAAAAAAAAAAAATTATGAGTTTGTTTAGATAGAGTCTTAGAAAATAATGGAAACTAAAGTTTCTTGTGCAACTCAAATTAGCTTGTTAGTAAGGCTTACGATTTCTTGCAAAACACATGCGGGAATTTATTTTTTCCTGCAAAACTTGATAATGCTTATTTTGTTTCCCTCTTTGCCCTTTACTTCTCTTTACAACTCTCTGTTATGCGGTAATTATATTTTTTCCCATCATTTTCTTGCAACATTTTTCTTCTATTCAAATGCAAGCAAGAAAATAAATTTTCGTTTCTTTTTCCTTTCGTTTAGTTCACTTTCTACCATTTTAACTTTCTATCATCCATTTCTTTCTAAACAAACGGAGCCTTAGTCTTATGTTGTCGGATCTCTTTAGGATTGCTACAATTAGAGACACTTAATGCAGGGCAAACCTGGGTAAAAATTCTCCTACTAGTAGTGAGCCTAACTTTGATATATTGTAGAGGAAAGAAAGCTTTTGTTACTGATTTTAATTGGGGTTTATGGATGAAAGGTTGGTTGAATTATGAGGTTCTTACTGTTTGCAAAGGTGTAACGGAGCCGTAAGTTTAAGTTTTTGGCAATGGAAGAAAATAAAAAATTTTGAGACTAGTTTCGGGCTGTGGATAGTAACTCTAGGTGTTATGTGTTCTCTTCAACGCTAAGGTTGAGTACTCATGCTGGGCAAGTAATTGAATTTGTGAAATAGGATTTCTAGGGTTGGGAGAAGGCTTGTACTAGTTATAATTCCATAACATTATTGTCGAAATAGCTTGTATCCTTAATTTGATGCACATTATTTATTGTCATTGAAGCCTAGAAGATTCATGTTTCATTGGTTCAAGCAATTATAGAGAACTTGGGGATAAGTTGGATTTGGTTCGTTTGAGTGCAAAGTGACCCACATTTATTTGTTATCTAACCTGAAAACCCCTTTTGTTGGAAGATTTATGGCTGACAATAAGCTTATACTCATTTTTTATCTCAAAAAAGTATCTTCATGTATAACGAACGGACACCTCTCCGGAGGCAGCGTATGGGTGTTGGATACGCGGCGGACACTTATCCGACACTCTACCTAACGTGTCCCCCCCCTTTTTTCCCCCCCTCCTTTTCTTTTAAAATTTTCCAAGCGGACACACTTGGGACACTCTTGGACACGTTATGGCCACATTGGAGACAGAGAGGGAGAGAAACCCTAACCTGTTGAAGATAGAGAGAGAGAAAGAGAAAGCGAAAGGGTGAAGAACCTGTTGAAGCCCTAGATCCAGGTATGATCCAGGTATGTTCTTCGAGTTCTTCGTTTCTTCAAATATGTTCTTCGTTCTTCTTTTTTTTCTTCGTTTCTTCTATTTGTCTCTGTGTTCGTCTCTCTCTCTCTCTCTCTCTCTCTCTCTCTCTCTCGTGCGCGCGTGTTTGTCTCTCTTGCTCTCTCTCTCTCTCTGTTATACTCTATTTGTGTTTTTTTTTTCTCTCCTAACATGTCCCCTACTATATATATATATATATTTTTTTGAACCAAAACCTTTTTTTTCCTCCTTTTTTCATTTGTTCTATTTTTTGGGTATTATTATTTGCTTAACATAGATAGAATAAATTATTTTTATTTGTAGGAAAAAACTAATTTGTGAATGATATTGATATTAAAATAGATAAATACATAAAATAAATAAATAATATATATTTTTGAATTTTACATTTAATAAATAAATAAAATTATAAATATTGACTGTATTCCCAGCGTGTCATGTCTCCCGTTTTTTGAAAATTTGCATTTTCACGTGTTCGTGTTGTGTCCTGTGTCTGTGTCTGTGTCTGTGTCTGTGCATCATATTAATTGAGTGTGAGCAATATGAAACATTCACAAAAACTTCCCAATTAATGCTACAAATTAGCAGCCATGTCTACTAGTGGGTATTTAATGCAAACCAAAATGCAAATCAATATCAATTTGAGAGGGAGAGATGACAAATCCCCAATTAGGGGTAAACTTTTAAGGATTAGAGAGAGAAATCAAAGCTCTTAGGCTCCAATCTTTTCTGGTTTGTTCAATTAAAATCTAAGTACAAATGCGATTACATCACCTTATTTATAGGCTACAACTAATAGGACACTTGATTTACTAACTGAACATTTACATACAACTCATTTTAACAATTAGCCTATTTATTCTACTACATTAATATTCAAGCTTGGTTTGGTGGGGGAGGGTGTTCAAGCTTGGCTTGACCTAAAGTTGAGCTGTTGAGCATAGCTTGTGATAGGTTTGTAGGCTTGGTTCAGTTAAATTGTCAAAGTTGCTTCACAGTTTTAAATATTCTTCCAAAGCTGTTGAATGCTCAATTTAGTTAATTGTGTGAAAAAAGTTGTTACATGGGCGTATAGACTAAGAAGCACGAACACTTCTACGGAAGATGCATATCTTGTCGGACACAACACTATGCAAACATTCTTAAAATCTGGTCTGACACTTATTCAACTTGTCTTAATTAGAATTTTAAATTCATAATATTGAACACTTTATAGACATTTTCTAGGATATTTTGGTGACACTTTTTGAACCCTTCGAACACGACCTATGTGATGAATCTCTTTCATAATAACAATGTTCTACATTCTTCATCATGTGGATTTCCATGTTCTACAATTGCTTTGCGTTCTTTATAATGCAATTGTTACGTGAATGATATTTTCATGTTTTAAGTTACGGATAGGACTTTTTAATTTTGGATTAGTGTTGTATTGTCTTTATTTATTTATTATTATTATTATTATTTGTTAAAATCCACCTACTCTCCACCTACTCTCCACCTACTTCACCCACTTAAACCTACTCCACTAAACCTAACCCACTACACCACTACCACCTCACCTACTCCACTAAACCTAACCCACTTCACCACTACCACCTCCACTTCACCTACTCCTTACCTACTACACACTCACCCTCTTCTATATATAGGATTCATGAATCATTGTAATTGTAATCAATAAACATCAATCAATAATACAATTCTCTATTTCTCAATTCTCTATTTCTCTTTATACATTAAATTTCTACATTATTATTACATTTGAATAAATTATTCATATATTTGACATATAATTATAATAATATAAATTTGTAACTTGTCCTAGGTGTATTGTGTTCTGCCTTTTTAAAATCATTCTGTCGGCATGTTTGGATTGTGTTCCAGTCATGTTGCATGTCTGCGCTACTTTGCTTATGGGCCTATGGATTATTTAGAGAATGGAAACAAAACACAATTTGTTACTCATTTGAATTGTTTGTCACATCCCTATCTACTATTCTGTAATGATTTTATTAGGTATTTATAAATGAAGGTTCTGCATGTAATTGATGCTATAGCAAGGAAAAATGGTCATGAAAATTTTCCTTCATTTGCTCTTATTTGCTAGATTTTCTTGTGTTTTGGGAATTTCTAGTGCAGATTGTTGTTTCCCTTTTTGTATTATTGATTTTAAAACACACATATCTACATTTTTTGTCTACTAACTTGTAAGTTTTATCTGATTGTTATCCAAATTGGTGACTTTGCATAAATGATTCAATCACATAGCCTGATTTTAATTACCACAGGCCATATTGGAGATGCTATTTTCCTAATACTCAAGCCATAATCTATGTTGTTGATTCAAGTGACACTGATAGGCTGGTCACTGCTAAAGATGAGTTTCATGCAATCCTGGAGGTATTTTATAAGCTGTTTTATGTTTTACGTGTAAAAATTTATTCATTTATTCATTAAAGAAAATTGTTAAAAATATGCAGATATTGCTGTTACTTTTTTGGCTCTTACCATGCTTCAAAGACAGGCTTAAGCATAAGCATAAGCATCAGTTACTTTGATGATCAGTGCCTTAAGTGTGGAATGTAAAACTAAATGCATGTTTAAAATGTAGTAGCAGTGTGGTGATGACTGTGTAGACTGTATAAAACTTTATTTCAAGATAATCTTTGTAGTGCATGAGATTTAATATAGGCTAGGGTTAGAGGGTGGTAATGCTACACTTGGATTCTCTCGATGCTTAATTTTTCTATAATCTAGGTCCTGAAAAATGTATTTGGTTAATTCTTGCAGAATCATTTCTCAACTCCTCTTCTTCTTCTTCTTCTTTGCCAATGCATTGTACCTGTATTAGTTTTAAGCTTAAACTGACATTTTAGAATACAAGATTATAATTTTTGGTCTTTTTTTCAGGAAGAAGAGTTGAAAGGTGCCGTTGTGCTCATTTTTGCAAACAAGCAGGTGGATGTTATTATTGTTTTCCTTTTTTTTTTCCCCTCTTTTTCTTATAATTGCTATGAATTAGAGACCGGAAACTTGATGCATGATGTGAAAGTTGGCCATGATGCTGCAGAGCTTTGTTCATGGATATCCTTTTGTTTTAGCTAAAACCTCTTTACACCTGAAACAGATTTTCCTGAATAATTTGTGGAATTTTTTTTTTCCTTTTTTTTTTATTGGCAATTTCTTTTTTTGGCCTACAGGATCTTCCTGGTGCACTTGATGATGCTGCAGTAACTGAGGCCTTGGAGTTGCACAGGATAAAAAACCGCCAATGGGCTATTTTTAAAACTTCTGCAATAAAAGGAGAAGGTTTATTTGAGGGTTTGGACTGGTAAGCTATTCGACGATATATATATATATCATTGTTGGTTTGTATGTTTATGCATTAATGCTTCTAGATTAATTGCCCATAAAGAGTATGATACGAGGTTTATACTTTATACTCCTATGAAAATCTTATAATCAATGCCTATTCAACAATACATTTCATTTTGTTTTCAATCTCATTGGCTTTATTGAAGTATTTATTTATTTATATAGGTTGAGTAATACACTCAAGTCTGGAGGCAGTTAACTTCTTTGGGATAAGAGACACAAGCTATGTGCTGCATAGGAAAGCCAGAACTCGGAGTTTCACTATATCCTTGGTATATTATGTGATTAGAGATTTTAGAAATGGGTGAAGTTACTTCTTCTTTTACTAACATTTTTTTTTGGTGTGCTACTAACATACCCGATAAATTTTCATTGAAGAATGACATTTGGCCAATTTTACTGTGTTCCCAATTTTCTCTTTTCCAGTACTTTTATGCTGCCTTGAAAGTTGCATCCTGCAGTGTTGTATTTGTTTGCCTGTTTTTGCAAAAAAAAAAAAAAAAAATACAAATTATTTCTTTCATTGTGCTTCTGGGTGTTTTCTGTTCTCTATATAGAGTGAACTTTCGAGGCTTTAATGTAGTGAGGTGTGACGGGTTAGTAGGCTTAACTTAACTGAAAAATGCTTCCGTATTGTTTAAATTTCTTTGTATTTTGATGAATTGATTTGATTTTGGACTAAGTGGGGCATTACCTGAACCGTATGAATCCATTCGATTTGTCTATTTCTTTGACTCTGTTTTAATCAGACTGTCGTAAATTACTTGTTTATTTGTGTGTACCGTAGTGGATATTGGCACTTGATTTGTACCCAAGTATTTGCTTTTGCAGTTTAGGCATATCAACATGAAGTTGTGTTTCCTTGGTAATGCCCAAGTTTATGCTGTGGAGCCGAAACTAGTGGAAATTATATGATCAGATGGATTAATTGGCATGACAAATGTTGGATTAATTTATATTACTCCCTCCTTCCCAAAATGATGGTCCCATTTGGAGAATTCAACTTGTTTTGGTAGTATAATATTGTACTTTAAAAAAATTGATTTTTCCAAAACTACCCTTTGATAGTACATTTTTTAGAGAATATTAATGTCACGATTATATTTTTTATGTTGTTAATGAATTTAAAACAAGAGTAAAATAGAACATTTGTATTATTTTTATATTTGATTTTTGAGAATGGACTAATATTTTAGAATAATGAAAAATGGAATAAGGGATTAATATTTTGGGACGGTTATCACATGGTGGCAACCAATGGTTGTGGTGATGGTGATATGGATAGATAGGTAGATTAAATGGATAGATAGGTAGATTATATAGACAAATAGATAGATAGATAAGTGACACATGGATAGATAAGTGATTCTAGACATAAGTGACATGTGGATAAATAAGTGGCACATAAGTGACATGTGAACAAATAAGTGACACGAGACCAAAAAAAAAAAAAGTGATGGAGATACATAGGTGAGATAGTAGACAAATAGATAGATAATTAACGGCTATATCGTTTTTGAAATTGTTATTGTTCTTATAGCCTTTAAGATTAGATATTGAGGTTATTGCCCAAAAAATTTCGAAAATAGGTTTATGAGTGCCTTTTAATAAAATTATGATTACAATATTAAATTAATTAAATTTTCATTGTAAGCCTAAAATACAAAATCATCAAATCATCAAAATGAAACGTGTGTCAAATTCACAGGCACGAATACAAGGTCCAATTCACTAGGTGCTGTAGACAAGTCATCATGGTTGACTATGATTTTTTTTTTTTTTTTTTTTTTTTTTTTTTTTGTTTTTTTTTTTTTTAATGAAAATGTTTGAAAATGTGATTGCCAACCCTCCATTTTAATTTTTTTTTCTTAATTAAAATATGTTAATATTTGCTATTTGGAAAAAGAAAGCAATGTGAATGCGAACCATGTTTTTTGGTAAAATGGGTAGAATGGTATTCACCCAAACAAAAACAACAGCAATGGAGAGGGACTTCATGGTTGTTTTCCAATAGATGCAAACACATATCAGGTTTTTCTTTTTTTTTTTTTTTTTTTTTTTTTTTGTTGTTGTTGTTGTTGTTATTTTTAATGAAAATGTGATTGCCAACCCTCCATTTTAATTTTTTTTTTCTTAATTAAAATATGTTAATATTTGCTATTTGGAAAAAGAAAGCAATGTGAATGCGAACCATGTTTTTTTGGTAAAATGGGTAGTATAGTCATGAAATTAAATATTGTGGTTGGGATTGCGTTTCCATTTCAATATAATTTTCAATCACACTTTATTATTTATTTTTTTTGAAAAATTAGGGGGACATCTCCCTACAAATTTGTGTAAGAGTTTAAGAACACTAACAAATTGTTTGCCAGTTAAAATCCTTGAGATTTGAAATCTTAAAGTGATAACGACAAACTTTAACATATATGGTTCAAAATGCTTTCATAATCATAATCATAGTCATTTTTTATTTTTATTTTTTATAATGCCCTCATAATCTTAAAAATCTTAATTTTTTTCATTGTTTCTCTCATAATGTTGTTTCTCTCTTGTGACATTTTACAGTGTTTAAGTGATTTTAAAACTTCAAAATTTAATAACTTTTGATTAACATTTTCATTTTTTGTAAAATTTATATTTTAAAAATCCTATTGATAAGATCTTTTAAATAAGATTCATGAGTAATGTGAAGTTTAGAAGAAAAAAATTTACGAGGTCACTAAAATTTCACTAACTTGATCATCAAAATCTCACTAATTTGGTCATCAAAATTTCATTGACCAATTGAAATCTCACTGACTTGGTCATCAAATTTTACTAACCAATCGAAATTTTCACGTGAAATTGACTGTTGAGTGCTTCTCCAATGGATATAGGAGATGATTTTTTTTTTGGATAAATAGATATTAGAAATGGATTAAAATAATCACTGTATGTGCAGATGCGAGAATTGAATGTTTCCAACATGGGTAAATTCTCTCTAATTTTATGGTTTTATAATTTTATTTATTTTCAGTTTCTTTTATTTTTCACCATCTATATCCACACGTTTAATTTCTTAAATAGTTCACTTCCTTTATGTTCTTAATTGACAAAGTCAATGATCTTATGTTACTGAATTCTAGATCCTCTTTTCTTCATTAATTTACATCATCATCTAAAATCTTGCTTGTACTGACATTATGTTGCAGTTACTAAAAGAGTAGAGAAAACAAAATTCCAGTGCTATAGTTCACCTATTTAATGTAAGTACTTTACGTGCTTCTCTTTCTTTTGATTGCTCTTAGTATCATTTGTTTTTTTGTGCTTGTATATTGCTCTTAGTATTATTTCATTTGCCCTAGAACATCGTCTTGGGGAGCATTGACTCTCTTTGTAAAGAAAAAGGACGGGTCATTATGATTATGTCTTGACTCCTGCAAGTTAAATCGGGTTATCGTTAAGAACAAATACCCACTACTCAGGATAGACAATTTGTTTGATTAACTTAAAGGATCTTGTTGCTTGTCAAAGATTGATTTGAGATCAAGGAATCATCAGTTGAGAATTAAGGAAGAGGACATCCAAAAAAACGGCATTTTGCATGCGTTATGGCCACTATGATTTCCTAGTCATGTCATTCGGTTTGACTAATGCAGTTGCTTTTTTTATGGACTTGATGAATTGAGTCTTCCAGGAGTTCATATATTGGGTTTGTGGTTGTCATTGTGGATGACATTTTGATATATTTACCCTCAGAAGAGGAACACAAGAAACACTTACGAGTAGTACTCAACTTGTTTAGGGTGCACAAATTGTATGCAAAGTTTGAGAAGTGTGAATTTTGGCTAATGGAGGTGAAATTTCTAGGTCATGTTGTGTCGGGAGAAGGGGTAACTGTTGATTATTTTAAGATAGTTGCTGTACAAGATTGAGAACAACCTAAGAATGATTTTGAGATCTGAAGTTTTTTGGGATTCGCCGGGTGTTATTGCCGATTTGTGAGGGGCTTTTCTAGACTAGCAACACTGTTAACTAGATTGACGAGAAAGGATATTAAATTGGGCAAATTACACTAATAGTCTCTATATTTTACCTTCTGTGACACTTTGGTCCATGTGTTTTCAATTTGCTTGATTTTAACCTTTCATTTTTAATTTCGTTTCATTTTGGTCCAATCAATAATCTCTATTAAAATATTTAACAGAAAATAGTCATGTGCACAACATATGATCAATTTTGAGGGGCAAAATAGACATTTCAACCTAACCCTTTCCTATTCCATCTCTGCAACACCCTATTCCATCTCTGCAACACCTTTTTTTTTTTTTTCGTTCCCCCTTCTTTGCTGTCTATCATCAATCTCACTTCACCACCGCCACTGCTAAACAACACCACCACCACCATCCGCTACCAAACAACACCACCAATCACAAATCAAAATCAAAGTGAAAATCAAAATAAAAAGAACAAAGATGAGAGTTTTGCAGATCAACGTAGCAATGCCGTAGGGCGGCGACGCATAGTGGCTGTCACTGCTGGCAATTCTGGTTTTTGAAGATAGCTTTAGCACCACTGCTAAACAGTGACAGCCACCATGCGGCAACGACGCAACTGACGGTTCTCAATCTGGCTTATTTTCATCATCATTTGGTTCACAATAGTGGCTAATTTGAAAATTAGGAGGGGGTTTCTCTCTATCTCGTTGCCGTATGCGACTCTCCGATGCCCTAATGGACAGCGATGACATTAGCATGCCATCTCTGTTCCCTCCATCTGCAACCCTAGATTTAGCACTGTTGGGTTAAAATGGCGGCTGTAGAAGTCCTGATCGGGGACTAATTCTTCGGCGAACATTCGCCACATGGTCTTTGGCTCCATGACAATCCACATCCCCTCTCTCTCTCTCTCTCTCTCTCTCTAGATCTATTCTTTTCCTTTCTTTTTTTTTTCATTTCTTTGTTTAGTTCTTGGGAAATTTTTGTGTTATTTATTGTATAATTTAGTTCTTGTATAATTTTTGTATAATTTTTTGTTTGGTGATGGTGGGATGATAAGGGTAGATGAAGGATGTTGGATGGAGGTGATGGATATGGCGGGTATGTGCAAAAGACAAGGTGGTAAGTTTGGTAGTCTGGGTGGCAGATGGTACTGCGTTTGGTGTGGTGGAGGTGGATGGTGTTGGTATTGGGATTGGCTATGGATGATTTTGGTGGTGGAGGAAAACAACGGTGGTAGATGATTGTGTTGCAGAGAGTTCAAGAGGAAGAAGATGGTGAAACAATAAAAGGGTAGTGAAATGTCCATATTACCCTTGAAAAAGGGTCATGTGTGGCTCACGTGTTTGTTTTTCGTCAACAATTTTAACCGGTGTTAACAATTGGACTAAAATGAAACGAAATTAAAAATGAAAGGTTAAAATCGAGCAAATTGAAAATACAGGGACCAAAGTAACACTGGAGGTAAAATATAGGGACTATTAGTGTAATTTGCCCTATTAAATTTGAGTGGAACGAGACTTGTGAGAAGTCTTTCCAAGAGCTTAAGACTAGATTGACTACCACACCAGTTTTGGTAATTCCAGAAATGGGTTTGGGCTATACTGTGTATTATGATGCATCTCGAGATGGGCTTGGTTGTGTGTTGATGCAACAAGGAAATGTTGTGGATTATGGTTCACGACAACTCAAAATTCAGGAGAAGAACTACCTTACCCATGACTTAGAACTAGTAGTGGTGATGTTTG